AAAAACTTATACAACAAAAAACATTTTATTGAGGATTTTTATTTCAGACCAAACTTAATTTATTATTTTTATATATTAAAGTATATAATTTATCAAATCAATGAACAACTCAATAAAGCTTAAATATATTTTATTCATTTATAATATCTGTTTAAAAAATAAATCTGAATCAATATAATTGATTCAGACACAAACAAACATTCATTTTAATAAACACACATTTTGATTTTTTTTTTAAAAGCAAGTGACTGCTTGCACAAAAGTTTATCAAGTCGAAGGGAGCCTTCTTAATAAGATAAACTTTTGGTTCCTACTGAGTTACTTTTGTAAAAATCTTAGTTGACGTAGTTTTTTATTTTAATATTTTAAATAAATGATTAATTTTATTTTAATACATTCAATAAATTATAATTGTTATTTTAAATAAAAAATATAACAAACTCATTGTCAATTTTTGCAAATACAAAAAAAATTAACTATAATCCAAAGTAAATAGTGATAATATTCACAAATAATACTTCAACCACAGGAATTCTTTTCATTTCAGTGAGATTTACATATGGGATTACAAAAATCAGAAACAAAAACTTTCTATAAATAATTTTAACATAGTGAAAAATAATTGGTATCTGAAAAAAATTATAAAACCTTAAAAAATTCACAATATTTGTTGTATATTGATTATCAAATCTCAATAATAATTCAATATTATTGAACAAACTAAAAATATAATTTGAAATAAAATCCTTAAATTCTTTTATGTTGGCCACTTTGTAATGATCTCTCTCATCTTCACAGTCTCTCAAAACAATTTTTAACACGTTATTTAATCGTGTCAAATTTTCATTTGCTGCATGAATCTGTACAAGTTCTTCAACTCTATTTCTTAAATGTGTATTATCACGAATCAATTCATCTTTATCAAGATTTAAAGCGCGTATTCTTTGTTCTAATTCATAAATTCTTATTTGCAATCTAGAATTTTCTACAATCACAACCTCTCTCCCTGTAATTCTTGGTTCTATTTTTTGTTAAAAGCTATTTTCTTAACTAATTTTTCATGACCTCAATTTATTTTTATACTCTATTTTAAAAGAATTTCAAAAATATGAATTAACCAAAACTTTGAGGATTGTATCTCATAAATGTTACAGGCTTTAGCCAAGATGGTATACGAGGATGATCTTCAAAGTTTCATAGACAAAAAAAAAAACAAAACAAAATAAAAAACCACCTCTTGTGGGCCATTCAACACAGAAGTTGAATTAATACAAGGGTAATAAATTACCAGGTGGGTATAAGTTTTGTTTGAGACGTTTATTACAATGATTCGAAATGAGACTGGGATCGAGCTGTATCATCGATTTGGGAATTTTATATCAATGTAAGAACAAATCAAACATTTAATTATTAAATTTAATTATCTAATCAGTTAATAAACCGATTAAATTTTTATTTTAGTATTATTAATTTTTTTTTTATAAAGATGTAAAAAGAATTTTGAAAATGAGATTGTGTTCAAAAGCAATCACATTAGTGATTGCTTATCATAAGCATCAAAGCATTCGAAATTCTTTTATACACACCCACACTGAAGAGAGAGGGAGTAAGAGAAAGAGACTAATAGTCAGTCCAAATTTTATGTTTGAGACGTTCGTAAGAACAGAGCAAACTTCTTTTTATTAATCAGTTTAAACTGATTAGATTTTTTTTTAGTATTATTATTTATTATTTCATTATTTTTTATATATATTTATTGTTAATTTATGAATAAAAAAAGCTTGAAAATGAGATCTCGATTAGAAGTGACTCATGTAAAACATGAATCACTTATCATCAGATCAAGGCATTCGAGCTTTTTTTTGTTTATTCTGTTGATGATGAACCAGGAGGAGTGAGAGAAGAGACAGATATATGTGTTTCTCATAAATTTTATACGTTTGATATAACGATTCGTGACAAGACAGGTTCGTAGCCATATCATCGATTTCATACAGTGTATGACATCATCGATACGTGTTCGTGAATCAGCATAAGAACAAATAAAATTCTTTAAAGTTTTTCTAATCAGTTTATAAACTAATTAGATTTTTTTTTTAGTATTATTAATTTGTTTTATAAATAAATAATATATATTTTTACAAAATTAAATGTGATTCGTATTGGCGACTAGGAGGTGAGGGGCCCAGTCAAAAACTCGTATCAAATAATATTACATTAAACACAAACACAACATAAATACAACCAACGTATAAGCAATTGCGAGGCTAGCAAGCTAAAAAAAAAAAGCCTAGCAAGGCAAAAGGTTTATTTAATCAGTTTAAAATTTATTATTTTTATTTTATTAATAAAAAATTATAACTTATAAAAAACAATCAAAAATAAAAAA